TTTTTTGTGGTAAATGTACTATTTCTTTTCTTGCCTTCCAATAGTTCTGCTGTACGTGAGGACAGCCGCTGACGAGGTGTTTGATGCGCTCATGCTCAGCACGCCGACTGTGTCAGGCCTACGAGATGCTGTAAGTAACAAACTCAAAGACATTCCTGAATGAGCTGACCTGATTTCGTCTGTGTTGTTGCCTTCCAACAGACACATACTCACACATTCATGCATAGCAATAAAGTTACCATATGTTATCTCTCAAGTGTATCACTTTTCTTTCACCCGGGCGATCATGCTAACTGTTTTCTCATATTCCTTTCCTTCCTCAGGTTTCAGAAAAGTACGGTATGCAAAAAGACACCATTGGGAAAATCTACAAAAAATGCAAAAGAGGGTGAGTGTCTTATTGTTTCTTTGGTATGCCTAATGCACTGTGATTATGCAATTGGCTTAACACACAATCTGGATTAAAGGACTTAATTTGACACAGAAGAGGTGCATAAATTCAGGGCTTAGTTTGTGATTTTAATCTCGCCCTCCTTTAAGGAAGCTCATGTTGACAGACTGGGTAGGTAGGTTAGTTGGCTTGGCCTGCTGGAATGTGTTAATTGCAGCTCCTCCAAAAGAAAGACAGGTGACTGAGGGAGGGTCAAAAGATTTCAAAAGTCCTGCCGATGAGTCATAGCCAATTGTTGTACTTATTTATGTTTTCATAACCTCCACCAACATCAGGAAGTTTTACGGTGGTGAAAGAGATAGCTGGTTTGATAACGTTGAAGGCTTTGGAGGATTCCAGTCCCTAGGTTGTCAATCAAGTTTGGGATCTTTATTGTATACTATTACACATCATATTTCTATGAGCTAAACATCGCTCAGGTCAGATGAGTTCGTAAGAGCTGCACTGAATGTAGGTGCTTTGGATTGGTGCCCTGTCTAAAAAAAACCAGCTCCAATGTGCTTAATTTCCTCAACCTATTTGATGGCACTCCAGTGGTAATGAAAAGGTTGACTCCTCTCTTGATGACTAATGATTCACAAAAAATCTACTTGTAACGTAATTACAATAACAGCTACATGCTGGCTTTGTAAATGAAACAAAGTAGTGTGTCTCATAAGTGGAATTTCCAAATATCCAAAAAACATGTATTGCATCGACTGTATTTCACACATTCAACAGCTGTCAAACTGATAATAGGCTGGGTTACCTCCAGCAAAATAACAGAGGAGATCAGAGGCCAGTCGTCCTGACAGAGACTGAAACACCTTAAGGTGATTTTCCTGCTGCTTGCTGGCAGCGATCACTTCAGGGGGTGCAGCTAAGCTAACAGGTTGGGTTACATTCTCCCCGCAGTTCCCTCCCTCCTCTTTCGCTCTTGTCTTCAATCAGCCCTGTCCCTGCAGGCTGAATGCATGAGCGTGGTGGTTAGTTCAGTCACTAAAGCCTTAAAGACTTACAGGTTAGTGTTAGTGTTGGGGAGGAGGAAGAGAGTGACCTGATTTACTACCCCTACTGATGCAAGAGATATAGTGCCAGTGTTTTTCACCTGACAAGCTTCCTCCAAACAAATGACATGTTGTGTTTTAACTCAAACAAGAAACCTGATGACTTGTTGCTCATGTCAAACGTGAAAAATAGAGCACAAAACATTTTAGAGCCAATTTGCATGTACTAGTTTTGAAGATGAATCGTTTTTTTTATTAAAAAGGTTAATACACTTTGATTTGGCCCACTTTCTGTGCACCATTGATAGATTCTTCCTCATGATCACTGAGCTGACCTTTTGTTTTTGCATTTTTTCTCCAGGATTTTCGTCAACATGGACGATAACATCATCGAACACTACACCAACCAGTCGGCCTTCCTCATTGAGATGTCTGAGCTTGTCCACGGTCAGTTCCAGGTTACGCTCATTGAAGTATGAGATCCAGCATCCCATCAGCCACCTGCTCCATTTGAAGGATGTAACAAATCACAGCTGCCAGTTTAAACCATATCTGAAAGCACTGCCCAGTCAAAGACAATGTAAGCTGTGGATTGCCGAAACCAGTAAGAGAACCGGACTGAAGAGACCTTCAAGCTCAGTTGAAAAAGTCAAACCGTTTCTCGATTCTGTAAATACCACTCGCTCCTGTTCTTATCATTTTGTTATTTGAATTTAATATTGTAATGTAAGAGCAATTATGATGAACAGCCTGTACATAATGTAAATAGACTTTAATATGACAGTGTTTTATGAACTCGCCATGTGCACGTGGTGATCCATTTTCCACGAATTGCTATGTATTTCAATTTTTTTTTACAGAGCTCTGTACATTTGTGTACAGTTTATTTTCAGCATTTTCAGAGGTTGCTGTTCTTGCTGCTTTCAATGTACTTGTCATTTCTTCTGCAAGACTCAATGGTGCGTTTACTCATCCACAACCTACTAATAAGGTTTTTCACTGCCATCAGTATCATCCTGTTAGTTTCACAACTACAACGGCCCGATGCTGGGTTAAATTCATAACCAAAAGTCAGACATTTCCACCCATAAAACCACACAAGAGTTAGTAATGGCCATCATTTAGCCCAAGCTGTGGACATTTCCTGACTGTATGGTGTAACCACAGACTTTTTCTAGAAACGCCCCAAAACCTGAAGCCCGCCAGAGGACTTTCATGATATGAGTGTGCATGTATGTGTAAAAAAAGCTGTTTCTTCCCCTTATACGTTATGCATCATTTCAAAACAAACATGTATCCCTGTAATATTTCATTATTATACCATGACAATTCTGGTTGTATTAGCATATCTTGCCTCTTTTGTAAAAAAAAATAAAGGAAATGCATAATAGGTTTTGTGGCTGTCTCTTATTTATTTATAGTAATTACGCATTTAGATTGAAAAAAACCCCAAGCCATTCACACGTCTACCATGATCAATTATCACTGGAACAAACAAAAGATAGGGATAACAGATGCTTCCTGTGTGTGTGCATGACTACAATTAGTCTTTTAAGGTGAAGTGCATATCGGAAATGTTTACAACAATCAGATCTCTCAGTAGATCAAACAAAATCATGAATCCCATCTGCATGAGAGAGGTTTCGTCTTACTTTCTGTATTTTTTGTGTGTATGTGTATATAAGGAGCGGGGTTATACGCAGATGAACACACAAAAAAAAAGAGACTTTGGTTTTCTAGCAGCTCTGTGCTCCAAAATAGGGCAGCACACACATGTTGAAGTGTTGGCATATATACAGAAAAGCTTGCTGCCTTTCCCTATTAGGTGACACTGAAAGGGAAAAGCAGGGAGGCACTCTGTCCTGGATTTAACACAGACATCTTTCAGCAAGTGAAAAAGAGAGCAGCAAGGCAAGCAGACCATAAAAACGGAGAGACACAAGGACAAACAGAGACACAAAGACAGGGAAAATTAGGAAGCGGAGACTGCTGAAGCGAAGATAGATAAGAAGGAAAAGAGAGTAGAAATAATGAAGAGGTGGTTGCACCATCTGCTGCCAGAGAGCAAAACATGTTGTCGCCATTCAGACGGGAGCAGGGAGGCAGCCGGCGATCTGCAGTGAGATACCCACAACCCCTCCTGAATGGTAAGTGACTACATGGACTGTGTCTGTGTGTGCATGTGTGCATGTGTTTGCATTGGCTCGAAATGCCTCCGTATGTGAGAGGAAGTGTTTGGGATATTAATAACCTACAGTATGTTCATCATGTTCATGACCAGCCTCTTCAATATTGTGCCTCTCTGCAGATGTTTCCATACATCTCCTCTGCATGAAAACAAACCAAGCATCTGGTAAAATCACTCAATTTAAATCATTGCAGTAACAGACTAAATGGACTTGACGGGTACATCTTTTGGTGTAATTACTGTCCCAAAAGTAACAAGTGATACCTGTGTACAAAAACATACCGAACCTTACACCTTGATTGAGGTGAGCCATTTAATTCACTCCCCGTTCAAAGAAGTCTCTCTTTCCTGTAATGTCAATAAGGTCAAAACATTCTGGTAGCAGAGCAGGAAATACCGCCTTATTACTATTACAATGTTATATAATGTGCATACAATTTTAGATGTCACTTGATGACAGGTATGTGCTTATAAAAACACACTCGACTGGATCTCATCAACATCCAGGCGTGGATTGTCATGATACATTTATTTTCCATTTAAACTTTTTTATTCTAGTCTAGTCTTGCATATTTCAGTAAATCTATTTCCAGTATATTCCTGACTATTCTTATAGTGACACCTGGTCGATCGTCTCTGATCCTTTCATTAGATTTCCGGTTATTGGTCCGTCTCCACAAGCTAAATGTCACCAACCTTCCAGTGACATTTCCAGAAGGGAAATATTTTACCAGTAATTAAGTCAAATTTACAAATGTGATTCATGTAGGCTGAGTGCACTCAAGTCAATACAAGCTGGTTGTTTAGTTTACACATGATTTCCCACCATTGTCCATACACTGAACCTGCTTCAATTAACTAAATAGATTGGTTAGATTATGCATTGTATGACTTGCCAATATGTTACCAGTAGCTTTTAAAGCACAAAACTGGTGACAGACCCAAATCAATCAGATTGTTCCTCTCAGTCAGTTCTCAGTGCCTGAATTCAGCACAGGGGTTGTACCAGTGCCGTATATCCAATGTACAGTATGTTTTTACAAATTTGTTACTCTTTTATTGTGTTCTTTGCAACAAAGATATGACTTTAGTGGCCATTTTATTGTTATTTAGAAAGCACATGATCTTGCCATGTCATTACAATTCAGCAGTTTGTAAGACAACCCTTTAGTGGGTTAAAGGTAATGAGCATTAAGTTATTCAAGGCTGAACTTCAGATATATATTTAATAGAGATAATTCAATTATATGAAGTTATTTGGTTGCCTTTTACTTTTGAGTTTTCATTTTAAATTGCTTTATCATTTTTATTTATTGTGACATAACATTTCCAGTGTTATGAAGCAAGAGTGTTTTTCCACGTTAAGGAAGTCATCAGATTACCACCGGTGTGCGTGTGTGTGTGTGTGTGTGTGTGTGTGTGTGAGAAAGAGAGAGAGAGAGAGAGAGAGAGAGAGAGAGAGAGAGAGATGTATACTGATTGTGCCTGCTTGTGTTTGTGTGTCTTATTTGCCTGCGTGAGTCATGCACGTCTTCAAGTTGTCTTGTCTCTGTCCCAGAGGGCATTCTTTATTTCCTCCTCCGGACTGAGAGACACTGTAGATGGACTCGCTCTACATTCAGACACTGGCCTGACATAATTACTAACCCGAGTAAATTCTTCCAAGGTCATAGCTGGCCATCAATCGGCAAGGCTTTGAAAAAAGAGAGAAGCAACAACAACACACATCCTCCTGCACACACACACACACACACACACACACTCACAGCTGAACTCAAGTATGCCAACATTTGTATACACAAGGCAATCTGGTCTTGTAGAGGAGACTAACTAGGTCTTGTGATAAATAAAGCCAAACACACACACACACACACACACACACACACACACACACACACACACAAACACACACGCTGTCATGTTGAGGCTGGCCAAGTTATCGTATCCTAGCAACACAGACAGGCATCGACCGTTCAGTCTTTTCCTGTCCAGCGCTGGAGCAGTGAAGGCAGACCTCCTTCTGCTTTCTCCGACTGCTGGAGCGCTTGTCTACTGCTCCCCTTCACACCTCTTGTTTTTCATATCTCTATCTCTGTCTCTGTCTCTGTCTCTCTCTCTCTTTCTTTCTCTCTCTCCAGCACTTCAACCCACCAAGCCCGCTCTCTAACTGAATCTCTGTCTTTCACTCAGACAGTCAGAATGAAGAGTCTGCAGCTAAAAGAGAGGAGAGTTTCAATCAGGAGGTAATGGATGAACTTCTATCTATTAAGGTGTTGAACTTTCATTGTTCTGGTCATCGTGCTGACTGTCTTTGTTTTTGATAATAGCTGATGTATACCTCTTTGTGAAGGAAGTATTCTAGCTCTTTGTTTCTTTATAGACATAGATCAGGAGTGTCTGGTCTGAGGAGACGTTCATTAAATGTGACTGGATTTTATTATATGTCACTATCAGGTTATAGTATGTCACTATCTTGTTGTCTTATCCTTCCAGAATAGATCCACACTGCTCTGAGAACAACAACACCGACATATGATAATAACAAACAGCATCTCTGTCTGGAGGAGCAGTCAACCTTTCTTTTGGAAAATACTCACATTGAGGACAGGTACTGCGCAGTTTTGAGAGTTTTTGTAAAGAATCAGGACTGCAGCACTTGCGATGCATACTCCAGCCTCCATGGTGATGGGGATTGTCTTTGCCCCTTTGGGATTGGTCCTTGTCTTCACTGCTGCCATCACCCCTCAGTGGAGAGAGGGACGGGCACGTCTGGGCATGGCAGGGCCAGGGTCATTTCTTCGGTCAGGAGTGAAAGGTCAGGGAATGGGGGTCAGGTCCGGGTCAGTGGAGGCACTGCTCTTGCTGCGCTCTGATGGACTCTGGGAGAGCTGCCTGCAAGTTGAGCACTCAGAGCTGAAGCAGTGTTGGCCTGTGGCAGGTCCATATCAGAGAGACCCGAGGGTTCGCCTGACACAAGGTCTGGTGCTGACCTCATTGTTCCTGTGTGGCACTGGTATTGTTTTGGCATGTATCGGGGTCCGGTGTTGGATGGATGTACCTCTGAGAGGTGTAGCAGCTACAGGTGGACTCCTGGTGGTGATGTCCGGGCTGCTGAGCCTAACTGCACTCGGGGTGTACACCCACAACCTTGGAAGACTGGGGATGGCAGATCCAAGTCAAGGGATCAATAACCCCAGATTCCCCCACCTCAGCCTGCATCCAGCCGGCTCGCTCTACTTTGGATGGCTGGGTTCATGTTTACAGGTTCTGGGAGGCAGTGCTCTGCTGTTCAGCTCCAAACGACCAAGATGCCCCACCTGCCCTTCCTGCCCTGAGCGCCCTGACTGCCCTGCGTGTCGTTCATGCACAGAAATGACCAACAAACCAGACACAAATGTATATGAAGTCAGCTGTTAGAATGAGAACCTCAGACTTCAAAGACTTAAAGAAAAAAAAAAGGGTGAACATATCTGGACATGTGGGCATTTCTTAAAGTCACTTTCAACTCAGCTAATAAATCTGCCAATGTGTCAATTCATAAATGACTGTGAACCACAGGACATTGCCAGCACCTGATTAATAGACCCTGATGTCAGGTATGAACATGATGGATGTAATTGCCCCTTGCTGTAGAAAGAAAGATATTTTTAAGGTAAGGAATAAAAAGTGATGAATGAGTACAAAGATTGTGCCAGGTTCATTAAGATCATTATGGTTGAAAAGAGCTCAAGTTCCTGCTGCCTTTAACTGCAACATGTAGTAAAACATGACTGAAGTGTCTCTTTGTGCTGCCTTTAACATTGTAGCCATGCCTCTGTACTGTTAGCAAGAAACGTTTTTTTGTGTCCGAACAAAACTGTGAAATGTAAAAATATTTGTGATAAAGTAGGAGTGGACTAGCAGTTGTTTAGATAATGTCAGGGCTTTAAATATGATTGCAAGCTTGTTTTAGATGCTGTTAAAGATTACCACTATAAAAATCTGTAATGTACTTTGTAGTCTTACGTTACTTGTTAACAGAAAATGATGTTAGATAAATAAATGTGAAAATCCTGTTTTTTTTGGAACAGAGACAACAATCTTGAATTATTTACTCCAGAAGTATTTGCAATCTGCTTTTAATATTTTCTTGACTCAGTCACTGCAAGAAAGGAAAAGTATCTATTTTAGAAGTCAAATTAGTGTAAACACATTATAAATAAACTTCCATTTCTTAGTCTGTCAGGGTAAATCTTTGTATGACACCTTCAGTGAAGAGCCTTCATCTAATGGATGTGATATTTCTGACTTCATAACACAAACAGTGAGAAGAAAAAAAAGTGTTTGAGGAGGAGGACGTACAACAGGGTGTTGTTTGGTCTTTATAGATTATTTGTTGACGTTAACTTGATGTAGTGTGTTCATACTTGGTGAATTCTGAATTGAATAAAACATTTCAACAAAAAATCACTGTGTCCTTGTACAACTGTTTTACATGACACCCAAAGCATATATTATTCATCCCACACAGAATAAAGGTTCATGTGTACGTCTTTACTAACCTTATATTTCTAAAGCTTGTTCAAGTGTTGTTTCTCCACACAAAGCTGAGAAGCAGAGATCCTCTCAGCCAACGCACAGCAGACAAGGTCACTGCAGTTAAACCTAGTAAATTGTATTAAAAAAAAGAGCTCTGTTACGTGAACAGATCTCAATCTGATGAGAGAATGAACGACAAACTACATCATTCAGTGAGTGACTAACAGTAAGTGACATATCTAGTAGAGACCAGGAGTTAAATATAGTAAATATGTCACTAATGTGCCACTGTTGATGAAACAAAAGACAGTAAATGTAGGCAGTGAGTGGAGTCTGGCATTGAAACTAAAAGAAGTTTGGAAAATTTGTTTAGTCATACAATAAAAGAACAAGTATGTTTTTGAATTTTAGTGTTTTAGTTTTTATCTTTTGCACAATTTGTGTGTGTGAATAAATAGACTCTGCAAAATAATTGCAACATTCAAACTCAACATTGTATATTGTTATTTTTCAACTATCCAGACACTGAACCCAATTTTAAATTATTGAATCTGAAACATTGACACCCTCACAAATAAAAAATGGTGGATAAAGTATCAACTTATATCAAAGTCACGACAAGTTCACGACACATTTCAGTGATCATCACGCTCCCTTTTTTATTGAGCCGATGAATATTACAGTAAAAAGGAACAGGGCTTACATCTCAACACTTGAGTGTCTCCACTTGTACACAGGAACGCTGAACCAGAAGTGTCACACAGCCCTCTGCTACTGTGTAAGTCTGTGTATGTGGTGATGTACAGTATTCTCCATAGGGGCGAGAAAGCTCAAAACATAACAAAGAAACATCCCCCCTGACCAACAAGGAGCTACGACAGTGTTTCTGAAGCAAATGATGTGCAAAATATTTCAAATGTTTACCTTTATTAAGGTAATGTCAATAAACAAATACATACAGTATTTATAGTGGAACTGTATTTACATATCACATTACAAGAGGCAAGAGACTTATATTACATTGAATTCTAAGAAAAAAATTATATTTTATCACTGGAAGAACATGACGGCCTTAGAATCCCATAAATAGATACTGAAACTACAAACTGATTGAGACTTGGCAAATTGTTATTTTCTCTGTTGTAAACACGTCGTATTTGTTGTGGGAAATTCTAGGTCTAAATTTGCAAGTCTGCACTCATGCATTTCACTGACATACTTGATTAAAGTGCTGATTTAATGGCAATTTTAACCAATCATTTCTTGGCAAACGTCAGCGGACATGACGTCTCTCACACTGTCGCATGAAAAACATCTTCCATTTGTCTGATTCTGGTAAACAACTTTGCAGTGATGTGACTCTTCCAACGTGGTCTTAAATGTAGAAGTAGTTCTCAGAGGCTTCTCCACTCTCCACCATTTCACTCAGCTGTTTATTTATTGAATCCTGCAGCGATCCCAGAGAGAGTTCTAACACTGGACTGGACTCTGTGCTAGAAGAACCCAGTGGGATTTCCAGGAGAACATCAGACGGCTCTGCGTCCACTAACTGTTCCCCGTCACTGAGGCTGAGTCTGTATGCGCCTTCTGTCTCTGCGGTGGCTGTTTCCTTAGCGACAGTTTCCAAGGCAACCTCCTCAGCGGGCGTGTCCTGCACTGCCACGTCGTCCCGTACTTTGGAGGCCTTGAGTGCGGCCACTCGGTCGATCTCTTGAACTAGTTCCTCGTTCTGCTCCTTCCACTGGCGATACTTTGAAGCTGTCAGATCAGAGTCCTCTAAAATCTTGTTGATCTGCAGCAGCTCTGCCTCTTTGGCCTGAGGAGTAAAAGGGCTTTCAGTGACCTTGCAGATGTACTACTAAATATTAAACTATTCAAACTTGCAAAATTTTCAGTCAAATGGGAAAGAAGTAGGGTTTTGTAACTTGAGAACTGATTCAATAATCATTACCGTCATAGTGATTTCTACTCAATGCTAAATTAATTTTATTTGTCTATTAAGGGGTCTCAGGGGTCAACTGAGAACCTGAGCCATGTGCTGGATCACTTCTCTGCTTACCTTAAGAGTGCTCTGCAGGGCGCGGAGCGTGTGCGCCTTCTCATTGATGATAGGGTTCTTGTTGCGTCGAATGAATGATTTCCTGAAGTGGTCGTGCGTAAATGGCTGCTCATGGCCGATCAGAGAAACTCCTCCTTCCTTTATGTTGTTTAACATCATGCCCATCTCATCTACCGGCGCTCCTTCACATGGGGGGCAAAGACACAGATAGGGAGGCAAAGTAAGAGCAAATTGAGATGGAGAGACAGAGATAAAAGAGATAGAAATTAAATACAAAACATAAGAATTGGGGTTTGGTTGACAACATTACACACATGAACCATCCATCTGTCGACAGCTGATTGGGGAAAATATCCACAGGGTAAAATCAAGAAAACAACATGTCATGATGAAGATGAATTTTCCACTCAGAAATTAATAAAGCTTATATCAAATGGACTCGGATTAAAGATATCATTCACTGAGATAGAAAATGAGGAAGAAGCAAAGAAAGTAGGAAAAGAGTTGAGACAGAGTTATACAGTACATACCTGTTCCTTTGCTGCCCCCTGTCGAAGGACTCGATAATGGCACCTTGTTCGTCTTCCCCTTGGGGCGAGGCAGCGTGTGGGACTGCACTTTCTGAGACACACAATGAGACAAATAATAATCCGAATGGTACTCCAAATGGTATAGGTGTGTGTGCTTGGACGTGTAAACCTCTAACTGTGCTGACCTTGTTTCTTCTGCGGGGTGAAGGTGATCTCTCGCTTTCTGATTCAGTCTCGCTGTAACATTCTGTTCACAAATAAAACACAGTTTGTGAAATTAATAATATTACCGTAACACGTTATATCAGAGTACATTAAAAACGTTTGGCACACAGTTAGAAGTGTGTAGCACAACCAACCTTTTGTTTAACTGGTTGGCAGGACAGGATTGAAATCATATAACAAACTGCAGGTAACCATAGCAACAGTTATTATCCTTCATCTTACGTTACCAGTTAACTCAGTCTAGTGAAACTATCATACCCATGGATTAATAAAGGTGCAATTTTTAAAAAAAATAGATGGCTTTGGTTAATTTAGTTCTCTTATAAATGGCCATGACTTGAAGGAGGAAACACTGAAATCCTAGCCATTATTTTGGTACACCAGGACACCAAATCATTCATATTAAGAATAATAAATCCTTAGTCAAGTTAAATAGATGAGTGTTATGTACAAAAGGTGTTACAAGACATTTTGGATGAGTAATACCTCTAATTAAGGGTATATTTTTCTGTGATCGGTGCAAATATGATTTAAAAAAATAAGGATAATGTTACCCTACCTTCTTCATTGTCTGGGCCTTTGTGGAACTTCTTATGTTTCTGTATGGTGGGAATCAGACAGTTAATCCACCTGCAGAAAAAAAACAAAAACATAACAAGCTGTGTCAACACAGACATGGCAATATAATTTATGTGTCATGATGTTTAGGTTCAGGCTACAACAGCTTAAAATCTCAACAGAAGTGATCGGCACGTCTAAGAGCACAGAAACAAGATCCTGAGAAGCAAACTGTAGGGGGCAGTGCAGACCAACACCTGTTTGAGAATCATTTGCTCCAACTGGCTGCAAAAAATGAATGAATGAAGATTAAATTTTGTAGCTGATGCACTTAGTCTACCAGATGCATTTTAGAACCACTCACTCATGTATTGTATGTAGTCACTGGAGCCTAAACAAGTTATTATTACGCATTATTAACCTGTTTTAGCTCATCTGTTTAGGTTAGATAAGATAGACGGGCCGAACAAATCTTAAGTGTATAATCGATCTGACTTACTTGCTCATGTCACTGACATTGTCGGCAGCAAAGAAGAAGTTCTGAAATCGCTGGTGGCACATTTTGAACACGCTTGTGGGGGGAGAGAAAAATAAGAGAGGGAGGCACAGAGATGAAGTGGATCTCAAACCGCATGAAACTCATCAAAGAGAAATTAAAACACATAAATCATGCAGAC